GTATGGATTCAAAAATTTGTAATGAAATTATCAATTTTTATGCAATTCCAAAATTTGTTCATAAGGTGCAGTTTCAATTTTGCCAATCTATTTGCATAAATTATTGTTGTAAAAAAAAAAACCCTACGGTAACTTTTGGCAACGTATCTATCAATGGCAATGTTCGGCAAACGTTGCGAAAGATAGTCTTTTGCAACGTTTGCCAAACATTGCCGTAGGCTGTCTTTCGCAACATTTGCCAAATGTTGTTGTATCTCTACGGTAACGTTGCCGAAGACTTTCGGCAACGTTCAAAACGAACGTTGCCGTATCTCTCTACTCTACGACAACACATCGATTTACAACACAAGTCCAAACATTGCCGTATGCTGTTTTTGTTGTAGTGTAGGAGGATTTGCAAGCAGCAACATCCTTTTTGATTGGTAATGGACCAAATGACCAAAGAAATTTATGTTTCATTTTGATTGACAATTGACCAATTAATTTAAGTTTTTGCTTGCTAGGTTGTTTTTATGATACTTGCAAATTCTTGGGTTCTAAACTATGATTTCCAGATTTCTACTCATGGAAAACTTGGTTCATGTTTTTTTAGAATTGTTATGGTAATGGGAGCATTGTTATTTAGTTACTTTTATAGTTACATTTTATTTTTAGTCAAAAATCTTAAAAAAATATTCGGGTAACTCACGGCCGACATTTTTCCCTTTACATATAACTGGTGAGTCATGTAGATCTTTTTCCATGTACAACAGAAACTAGAGGAGCACTATAATAGTAACATTTTCCAGTCCATTCAATGCTTCATGATGTATAAAGATACAGCTTTCTTTTGAACTTCATGACTCTAAGTAATGTTGTTGGAAGATAAATGCTTCTATATTATATATAAAAATATTGCAAAAGAGATTTACATAGATAATAAAAATAAAAATGACACAAAATACTAATACAAACTAATGCACCATGAACCATAGGCCAACCTACAACAAATGGTCTAAGAGGCATTTGACAAACAATACATATAGAAGAATCATTTTGTTTGTTTCCCATCTTCATGGCTATTCACTCTTCACTTTTTAAACCACCAAAATTGAATAAGACATTCACAAAAAAGAGCCCAAAATCCAAACTTAAAGTTTTTGATGCCCGTGAAATCTGCATCCAATAAACTGTTGCCTCACTTTTTTTGTCCATGATTCGTGACATTAGAGACTTATCCACAAAGGCATAATGTTCATTCCACAATTTGGGGATCACTTGATGAACGAGGCATCTCCAAGAGAAGAATGAAGATTTGGGAGTGAATCTTAGACGACCTGGGAGTGAAGATTTAATTATCTCAAATATTAAAAAACTTGTTGCCAATTGTTTAAGTTGTGTTAGGGGCTGTTTGGAAGGGCAAGTTATTGACATGGATTGTTTTAATGGTTAAATAATGCGATATCAGATTTTCATCCGCCATGTGGACAGTTCCATCAAAGGCT